AAAATCCCGGGTGGCCAAGAACGCCGCACCAGCATGGCAATGGAGCCTGGAGATGGAGCCCTGAAGCCTTTGCCCCCTCTGTCCACGCCCTATAAATCCTAAACCTAAAGTAAGCATTAAATGTAGACCCAATAGATTCCAATCCTGATCCCTGAAACTAAACCCTAGTCCCTAGACCACTAAATTGAACGCTGAGCCCTAACCCACTCAAATCTAAGCCCCTTACCCCATAGCCCCTGCAAGGGACCCCTAAACCCCACACCCCATGCATTCCCGTATCTCCCTTTAAAGAAATCCCTCAACCTTTAAAGCCCAGGCCTGAAGATCCGGCGGCAGCTGTGAGGGCACCGGCACGGCCTGACAGTTGGAACTCGGTTTGCAAGCTCAAGGGTTTTGAGGGTTCGGTAGGGTTAGGGTTCAGAGAAGATTGCTCTAGGTTTATTAGGGTTGGAGGGTTCGGGCTTTCAGGGTTCAGAGCTCAAGCTTTAGGGCGCAAGGTCGCCGGAGCTTGAGGCTTCTGAAGAAATAGCTGCTTCGCCATCACATACGGCGCCAAAGTTCAGACACGGACAGATGCAAAGAAGGCCCCGAGGCAAGAAGGGACAATGTTTCAGCATAAGCGACTTCGGATAAAGAGGTATAGCACTGGACAGCCTGGTTTTGAAATCCAGCTTGGTCACTTACCTATCCTGAACGCAAAGTGGACACTGGTAATGTTAAATCACGTTGCAAGCCCAGCAGTCTTCGTAAGAGCCCGTTGGGGGGCTTCCATGTTTGTTTGTGGATTGCACTACTAAAGGCCTAGGACCTACAACCAAGCTCCAGCAGTTGTTGTACAAAGGGATGTAGCCCAAATGCTACTTCAAGTAAGGGGAATCCTAGAAAGCAACAAAAAATCAAACTCCTCCAAAATCATCCAAGCAGTTTCATAATGACTGACCTTAGTTGTCTCCAGATTTTCACTACTTACTTGTCAGGATAGGAGCCTCAGCCTGGAAGATATTATCGTTTCAGACTAAAAGCCCTGAACGTTGAAGCTATAAATGAATAAAGCCTTCCCTTTGGATGTTCAGTGCGCCGGACACGTACCCCTGGTCCCCTTAGCCACCCTAAAGGAACCTGTGTGTCTGTACCCAACCAGCAATCACAACCTTCCCTGACTGGGCTCCTGTCCAGGCAGCACGGTTCGGGTTGAGGGCTGCGTATGCAGGGTTGAAGACGAAACTCAAGATGGTGGGCATGGGATTCCCAGTAAATGGCAAGCTTTCCTTAACTTAGCTTCCCTGGCAATAGGTCAAATCTGGGCGCCCGCTTTCCAGACATCATTTTGCTCCCGTTGACTTGCGCAACAAGGCAGAGGGGTCTATCGCAAAGATGTGGCCGGCTCTAACTCTCTGATCTCTACAACTTCCTACATTCCCAAATTCGTGTTAAGATTTAGTCAGACCCTTTTCCAGCAATGCACGAATGGCCAACAAATATGTTGCGGCAATCAAGACAAGAACTCACAAAATGAAAGCACCGAAAAACAGGTTGGCAACAACTTGATTGCGACCTGAACAACTTAGCAAACAGTAGCCCTTATAAACCCTACGCCCGTAAGCCGTAAGCACAGCCTCATGCAGGTGTGAAACACGGACCTTCTCAGATGGACATAAACCAAGTCTCGCCAGCCTTTAATACATATAAAATAATGTAAAAATCCTTCCCCAGCAGTCAATAACATATTTTCTTTAATTCGGACCGGATACGAAGATGATATGATTTTAGAGCGCGCGGGCAAGATGGAACAACATCCGTAACGCCGTTGAGTTTATAGTGCCATATTGTGTTTTCTTCCGCCTCACAGGCCCATGGCAAGTTAGAACTGGGATCATAAATTCGAGAACCGTACTTATGGCTACAGATGTGTCCGCTTCACGTCGTCACAGACCGGCGTCCTACCATGAGCCAACCTCTTAGCCATTGCGACTCTTGCAGCTGTGGTAACATTACCCAATTTCCAAGGAATCACATGAACTACCCCAAAAGCCCTAGCCTGTCCCCCACCCCCCAAAGCCCTAACAGCATCTAAAGTTAAGATCTGGAAAGCGTCGCGGAAGTATGTGCCACGAGGCATGAAAGCTGAAATAAAATGCAGACTTTGCAGTGCTACTACAATAGAAAACTCCGCGCAGCATTTGCGAGAGCAGGGATCCTATAGTTGTAGAAACGGTAAGTACACAATGTGGACGCATGCATCTCCAAAAGAAGGGGTCTCCCTGACATGGTAACCATGTCTACACGGACTTGGAAAAGGGCCCTAAGTATTGGAAACTTTCACCTATGAACTCCGGATTGAAGACTTGGATAAGAGACCATCTGTGCCTTCTCTACAGGGAGACAAGTGGGAAACCAAAAACCGGGAATGCAAGAACGTAGCAGGTGCTCAACCGAATCACACTCCAGATGAATGTCTTAACCCTACAGAACACACAAATCTCTCAGTCCTTGGGGTAGCCCTTTTCAGGTTTCCCTTGGCATTCCCTTCATGCTCAATTATTGTCAAAGCCAGAGCAGTCGTTTTGATTCAGCAACCGCAGCGTGTGCAGACGCACGAGAATTGAGAGATTGGAGGCTGGGTACTGTGAGTCAGGGGTGTAGGGGGTTTAGGATTCAAGGTCTAGGCTCCACCAACTGAATGGTAACTCTGCAGATGCAGTTTTCTTACAGCGAAGCAGGAGTTGAGGGCTTAGGGGTCTGAAGCTTCAAAAGGCCCCGGAGGCTATACAGCTTGAAGGGATTGTTTTGAAGATCTTTGCAAAAAGAATACCTATTCTGCATAGGGGCTTTTGACATCAAGAGCCCTGTCGCCCTGGGCTTGCATTGAGCTACAGTAAGCTTACAGTCTGGGTACTCGGGTTAGGGCCCAGATCCTGTGCAGAGTTTGGGGGCTCATTTTTTGGGTGCTAAAAGAGAATGTCAGGCCGCGCATGTGACACGGCCTTCGGTTGCAGCTGCACGACAGGCTCGATGGCAACGCACTCCATTCCGCTATAGCTGATGATGCAGCGTCAGGGTTGAGGATGTATTTTGAGGAGGTAGACATCGATTGCTGCGGTAGTTGCACAGGACCTATCCAGCCGCGGAGCTATCTGGAGGGGATGTATTTGAGTATATTTCGGTTCAGGGGTGTTTTCTTGGATTACACACGGCTTCGAAAACCAGCCAGGCCTAAGGAATAATCTCACTGTCTCTATAAGCTGTGCATCCTAAGCTCATCTCCATCCCGATAGCTTTAATGGTTTAGGGGGCTGCTCAAGAAGAAACACCTTTGAGAGGCTGAGGGATATGCGGACAAAGAAACTGTGATGTTCCCTTCCCGGGATTATGCAGAGGGTTGTTCTGAGATTTCGCCATACCCCACGTTGTAAGCTTGGTTCATATTGATGCATGTGCGGCTTCACATGGGTAGCGTCTATTGGATGTTCTTGTTATGCCTTTGGAAAACGGGAGGCCTGAAAAACTCAGCATGCATTGCTGACGTGTTCCCACGCATTCTCCCAGGAATGGCATGCGTCGATGCCACATTGGGCGAATCCAGGCGAGACAATGGAAAACAGTGGTGGCTATGGGTGCGGGTTCAGGGTTGAGGGTGTAAGGGTGAAGGTTCCGGCTCCCGAAATGACCATAAGCAGGTTGGCTTTCCATACAGGATCCCCTTAAAGCATGTGTTTTCCAGATGCAAGAATTTCAGGGCTAGGTGATCCTCCGACCCATGTGACCAGAACGAACAAGGCAATTTGTATTAGGAGCTCCTCATGCGCTGAAATGCTGAAGACGCGCAAGTTGAACACCGTCATCAAACACGACACATCAAAGGTTGATGGAGTTTCAGCATGTACGCAGAACTTTAATTAAGGATGCACGGGATCTGGAAGGATTTCTGATCTAGTCACTGGCACGGCCAGATAGAAAGTGACGAACGGATTGCTCGGAAAACGAACTCATAACCTCCCCCAGAGTAAGACCATCTCCCCCGCAAAGAAATCCCTGTACTGGTGGTGAATATCTCTTTTCCGAGCTTTTTCTATGCCGATAGCTTGCTGAAGTTTCATCCCCGGGTGAAGCCCTGAAAAGGGCTCCCACTTTAATTAGGGGATTTGGGGTTTAGGGATTCCATGCCTGTTTAGGGAGGGCAGTTGCCTTCCTGGTGAAAGCTGCAGCGCCACTGGTTGCTATGTGCCGTCGGTCTCTGTTGGTATTGCGGGGCCCCAAAAGGAAACGAAAGTCCAAACCAAATCCAGATCGCCAAGAGGTGGCCCTGAATACCTAGTCACTAAAGCTTCAATTAAGAGCCTATATGGACTGACACGAACTATAGCGG